TCCAGAAAAATTTTATCGTTTTATGGGTCTATAGGTTCGTTCGTTCATGGTATAGTAGTGCTGGTCTCGATCATCTATTGTTTGGACAGGCAGCGAAGAAAAGTTTCATGTAAAAATGTTTTCAATAGTGAAATAAAGAAATAGAGATATTTTTGTAAGTTGAATTATTGTTAAAGGACTGAGACGGATCGTTAGATACCAATCTTAGAGATAAAAGTAAGAATGAAAATATTTTTACAACGCTTTAGAGGTTAGGTTTAGTGGCAGTCGTTTGCTGACAGTGGTCGTTGTCTTTGACACATTTTCTGTCTTCCCTTTTTGTTCTACGTTGTTCTTTTTAGTGTTAATTATACATTATTGTATCTTTTATCAAGAATAACGACGAAAATGATGATAATAATAAAGAAAAGAATAATAATAAAGTGAAGTTATCAACTTCTTACATTTCACTAACCTTAAACTAGAACCAATCTCGAAAAGCGAGGTTCGTTTCTAATATCTGCAGCCTGTGTCTGACGAACAATAATTCACAAACGCTTATTACAACTCTGTAACACGACGAATTCCCGTGGTGAACAATCTGATAGCCGCGCACGTCCAGGATAACGTTGCCGCGTTGAGAGAGAGATAGAGAAGAAGGAAGTTCCTGTTTGAAGCTCAGAGCATCATCCGCAGAAGGTCTGTCGTTTAATTAATACCTGAACGTTTACGTTCCTTAATTAATATGAAGACGCCGTGAATAGCGCGGAGCAAGCACGGTCAATTCTCTATTCACGTAACACGATATTCCTCAAAATTCGTAGGAGAAATGTAACCAAAGCCGCGCCAATTAAATAGATTAAACGATACCGTGCGAAAAAGATTCGCACGATTATCGCGTTTATAAACGAATCTAGCCAAGTTGTAAATGTAGTCGATTTATGTTTGTACGTACGATGACATTAAGAGTACACTGTATTTAGAATTAATGGAGAATGGTTGATTTTGCGTGTTCGAAGTGTTTTATAAATGTTGGCAGATATAACAGTGGCACTCAGTTAAAGAAATTGAGAAATATATCGTATTACGCGAGCTTTAGTGATTAAGCACGATTGATCAAGATACATATTTTATTTCTTATTCTTTACCTTATATTCAACACATTCTGTGCAAACATCATAGAACGAAACTATATGTCACTTTCTCGTCTGTGTAACTCCCGCGCAAATGATGCCAACTGTTAAAAGGTACGAAAAATACTAAAAGTATAAAAATAAACCGTCCAGTGCTCAACATTAATTATTCTTAAAAATAAAAAATATTGCCACAAGTCACCTTAACAACAGCTTCTTGAAAACAGTTCCACAAATGGAAACACTTCATTAGTAATCTTCCTTCCTTTCTCAAATAACGAAAACGAAATAGAAATTCTGATTTAAATAAAACCTAAAAATTGTAAAATAACGGACTCTCCGGTTACGAGATTTTCGAGGTACTGCCTGCGGACACGGATAATTGAATCATAGTAATTAACTGACCGTATGCCGGCATTGTATCAAATAAGTGGTTGGGCGGGCGCCTAAAGCCAACGAAAGCAGCGCTAACCGCGAAATTTATGCCTGTCGATAACGACTGGTTAGAATTTCGGTCCTATCACCATTTTATAGTGTACTTTGAATTCTCGACGGATTTTTAGTTGCGTGCCATCGAATTGTGTGTTTGTCTGTCATACAGAGTGTGATGTGCAACTAGAATAATTCGAAGTATTGTTGTGGCTACAGATGAAAATAGTGCACACGATTTTGTTACTTGTTTATTATTCTAGATTGTGCTACGATTTTGCAGAAACGTCGATGATCGTGCTGTGGTATGTATGTTTCATTTGTAGCATGTGTACAGTGAATATTGTTATAGGGTGGTAATGAAGCGTAGAATATACACGTTTTGATTACGACGCAATGAATTCGTTTAACTTTTCGAGGGAACTGATCGAAATCTGTGTAGAGGTTAAACTTTGCGTTTACATAAGATAGTTTATACGAAAAAAAGATTCGTATTGATGGAAGTTTGTTTATTAATAAAAGAGCGTTTATTACGAAAGTTTATTAATAAATTTTAAAATAATTTTAAAAATGTTGAAAGAAGAAAAATGAAATATGTAGTCGGTACAAAAGGTATTCGTATATACCTACGTTTTTTAATAGGTGATTTTCTAGGTTAGATTCTTGTCTCTAGTGACGCGAAGTGTTCATAATTAGATTGGAAATTTTTCTAATGAAAAGTCTAATTACTCTGTATCTAAATACCAAAAGTAGAATAACGGAACATTTCGTATTTATAAAGTACTACCATGAATAACAATAGAAAATTAAGAACAGAGTACATCGACGCTGATTAAGAGAATATATTAACTAGACGGTTTAAACGCACAAATAACAGGAACAATTTCGTTACCTTCGGAGTAAACTCTTCGGCAAAAAAAAAAAAACAAAGCAGAGGAAGAAAATTTCCGTTGGGTATCTCGGTAGAACGTTAAACGCTGCAAATTGCTTATAAATTGTGAACTTACGGCTCACTGCAGTCGTTCAAGAAGTTTTTTCCAAGGTGGGAGACTTTTTTTATAGTAACATAATATACCGACATAACGTCCCTGGTCGTCTAATTATACTGTACAAAATTCTGCTTCTGAAAGTACTTAATTTCCCGTAACAGAATCAACGTTTATTTTGTAAATCAGTCGACCTTTTCACGAATCTCTAAAATATCGTTAATCCACGATAGCTAATTTTATTTGGCGTAACGTAGTTAAAAAGTTTCCTTAAATTACCTCGTAGATTTTTTTTTATTTTTGTTTTATTTACAAATGACTCACCATGGAAAGGATTTCACGGATGCAAGAGGCAAATTGTTCCCGTCTAATCACGGAGTGATCAAGCTAATTAGTAACCTCTTTATCAATATGTTTCAGCAATTTCAACGAAATTCAGACCTCTCGCGTTATTCCCCGTGTAACCGGAAACAGCAGAAAGTTCAAAATTCCTCGTGCTGTTCGTGCGTAATTGGAAACAGCATGAAGTTCAAAATTCCTCCTGTTATAACTACGTAATCGAATGCGGTTTTCGGCCGAAAACTACTCCTAGTTATTCCTCCATTGTTTTTAACCGAATATAAATACAACTAACTTGTAATTCCTAGCATGATATACGGGGGAAAAAAAAACAATAGCTGCACAGTCAAAAATACCAAATGTTGTTCTCAAATAAACAAAACTAATATAAATCTCAAATCCCCCCAGCTTTATACGTACCCACAAAAATGTGAAAACATATGAACGCGAAATTTCTCGGTTGTTACTCTTAGCCAAATAAAAATGACACGAGCTTTCGAATTCCCGATGTTATGTCCACGACATCAAAAATTTCATCTCTTCATAGCTGGGAAATAATACGTCAACTGAAACATTCAAAATTTCTCGTGGAATGTTCGTGCAGCCAAAAGTAGTACAAATTCGAAAATCCCGCGCGTAATTCATCTACAAACAGTGACGGGAATTACCCGTTTATTCTCGGGATCGTTAGTACAAAAGGGCCGTAACTCGAGCGTAACGCAACCGCGAACAAACCGATTCGATTCTTTGAGCGCTTTTCCACGTGAAAAGCGTGCCGGTGTGTTGTCGCGAGTCCGCACCAAAAATTGCTTGTTCCCGTTCAAAAATCAACAGCATCGAAGGAAAGGTTAACATGGACAGAGAGAGGGGGGGATCGAACAGAGAGAGAGTGGGGAGAGATCGAACAAAGAGAGAGAGAGAGAGAGAGATTGAGGAAGTAAGAGAGAGGACAGAGGAGAGCAGAGAGTAAGAGAGTGAGTGAGTAAATGAGAGAGAGGAGAGAGATTGAGAGAGAGAAGAAAGATGAAGGGAGAGACTGAGAAAAGGGGCGAGAGATTGAGAGAGAGGAGAGAGGAGGGCAGAGAGTAAGAGTGAGTAAGTAAAACAGC